CCCAGGGGACAGGAAGGCGGCGGCGGAGGCCGCCACTGGGAGCAGGAACCAGGGCCCGGCCCACCCCGGCGGGCGCGAGGCCCGGGCGTGGGCGGGGGCGCGGCGGCGGTCAAGTGCAGCTGCCCACAGTGGTGATGGCCGTAGCGGCGGCCTCGCCACGTGACCCGGACGGGCGGAAGCGGAAGTGCCTGCCGGGATCCCGCGTTAGGTGGGTGTCCCCTCGGCGCTGGCCAGCCGCCGCCTGCACCAGCCATGGACTGCTACACTGCAAACTGGAACCCGCTCGGGGACTCGGCCTTTTACCGGTGAGCCGCCCCGCTCTCCCGGCCACGATCCGGCTTACCCTGCTCGCCCGCTCGGGTCCGCCCCTCTCCGACTCTCCCCGGGTTTCTATCAACTAACGAACAGCTGCCTGTGGCCCGGCCTTCCCCTCTCCGGAGAAGGAAACCGAGGCAAAGCCGGTGGTCACACAGGGGCACAGCCCAGCGCTGAAGCCCAGGTCTGTCGGCTCCCGGAAGGATGCTCAGATCATGTAGAGGGTTGCCGCCCTCGGGTGACAGTGAGTGCCTGGTCTTCTGCCGGGAAGTGCTGCTGAACCGTCAGACCAGAGGGGCGCTTCTAGGGGAGGCGGGGTCGCACGGCGGGCGGGGTAACTGTGCCTACCAAGGCTGGGAGGAGGCGAGTCGGGAGTGAACCAGGGGCAGCGCGAGTGAGGACCCCATGTTAGGGGCAGCCCGCTCAAGAGAGTTTTAGAGTCCTAAAACGCTAATCTTTCTAAAGTGTTGACTGATCATCTTATTACCCTGATTAGGATTTTTCAATGGCTTTCCTCCTTTGTTAGATAAAGTACAAACTTCTAATCATGTTGCATCTGTAAATCGGCCCTTATTTGTTTCTTCAACTCTCCTATCCAGATTTTCTGTTCCAGTTGCACAGAACAGGACCGCATCACACCAGGATGTTTCATGGCTCCCTGTGTTTGCACTAGCTTGCATTTCCTTCTGTGGGCATTTCCCTCTTTACCTCACTGGAGAGTTCTTGCTCATCCTTCAGGACTTAGTTCAAGAGTTCTTTCCGAAACTTTCCCTGACCGAATCCCAATAGAGTTGACGTTCAGTTGACTTTCCATTGGGTCTCAAGGACCCAGGGCTAGGGTCTGTTATGTATGGCACAGTAGGGCAATATCTGTATAGCTTTCTTCTGCTAAACCAAGTGCCCTGAGGGCTGAGAGCATATTTCTAGCATCCCTTTTTCTCCAATGTGTATGTAGAATAGTGCCTGTTATGTAGTAGTTGCCTAATAAAGTTTTAAAAAATACTTTATTAATTGCAACTAAAGATCACAAAGACTTCGAATTGCGGTCTTCTTTCAATAGTATACAGCTGTGCTAGTTAAACTGTATACCATTGTTATTCACATATTAAAACTTTTAAAAAAACATTTTTTATTGAGTTATAGTCAGTTTACAATGTTGTGTTAATTTCCATTGTAGCGCACAATTTTTCCATTTTACATGAATATACATATATTCATTGTCACATTTTTTTCCACTGTGAGCTACCGCAAGATCTTGTATATATTTCCCT